TTTAGGTTGTTGTTTTGGAATGTTCGGCATCCAAAACTTCTTTTAAAATATATTACGACAATATTGTTAAATATTATGTATGTACATACATAAATATTGAAATATAACGAATGTATGATTTTTCCAAAGTCTTCAAAGGACACTGTCCTCTATAATTGATGAATCATAAATTATAAGTATCTACATATTACAATGACGATAAGGAGGACATAGCTACTCTCTATAAACGTAAAATATACAAATTCAGTTTTACAATTTATATTCTCAAATCAATTAAACATTTTGTTGCATATGATTTAATGACAGAGCTGTACGTGCTTTATTTATGGGTTTAAAATATCATTAAATTTTTTGTATTTTGAGTTGAAATTTCATAAGTTACTTTTTCGATAAATGCTTTCATTGGTTAGGGATGACAAACATTTCATCGTAGTTCTGAATGGAACAAAGAGCAAAAATCTTTGTTCGCTAAGAAAATTTTGTGTGGGGAATCAAGTAGATATTTCATCACATACTGCCCGAATGTTGCTCTGCGGTATTTTGGCCCATTTCCGGCGAAGCGCTTGCTTGACGTGATCGACACTTTGGTATTCTTTAGTGCCAACCTTGCTTTCCAAAATTCTCCAGACACAATAGTCCAACGGATTGGTATCAGCAGATTTTGGTGGCCATTGTGCGCTGGAAATGAAGCGAGGAACCTCATGCTGTAACCATTCTTGGTTGTCGCGTGCTGAGTGCGATGGTGCTGAGTCCTGTTGGAATGTCCAAGGTCCTTGAATACACCCTCCAGAATATTTTCGCGATATGATGCCAGGGTCGATTAATATGAGCGGAGAGCGACCATTGGCTGTTATGGCGGCCCACACCATCACCATGGGCGGCGCTTGAGTTCTGGTGGCCAATCGAAGGTGCAAATTTTCAGCTGACTTCTTCTTCTTCTTCATTTTGTTTGTTTACAAACTGCTGGACAACGAATGTTTCGATCATGTCGCTTCTTTTCTTTTCGAACCATCTCTGCTAATGTTACTGACGTCGGGCTACGCTACCAGTGTCACGGTAAAGAGCGATGTTACGAGACACAAAAGATTTATTCGCATTTAAATGCTGGAGTGCTCTAACGATAGCCAATAGGGTTCAATTTCGATTATTCTATATTTGTAAAACAAGCATTTTTCAATGTTTTCTCAAGCTTAAGGCTTATGTTCATAAGCTTATTGTAATATTGTTCTCAAGTCATGTTGGTATGTTGGGTTTTATTTAAAGACACATACGGTCACAATATAAATAAAACACGTACAGTTCTGCAATAAAAACATATACAACAAATTGTTTACTTGTTTTGAGGATATAACTTGTACAGCTGAATTTGTAAATTTTACGTTAATAGAGAATAGCCATATCCTCCTTATCTTCATTGTAATATGTAGATACTTATAATTTATAATTCATCAATTATAGAGAACAATGTTTCTTGAAGACTATGAAGAAGGCATACATTCGTTATATTTCAATATTTATGTACATAAACATAAAATATTTTACAATACTGTCTTAGTACACTTTAAAAGAAGTTTTGGATGGGGTAAATTCCAAAACGACAACCAAAAAAAGTATTTTTCTTAAGAGAATGAATATCTATATTCGCATTTATCAAGTAAAAAACAAATAACATTGACAGAATTTTATGTCCTTTCCAGAAGATATCTATGAAGTAATTATTAAAAGTGCTATATTTATAACCCAGCTTATTCGTCTTCCTTGTAATATTGCTGTCATATTCCATATGACGTATAGTTTTGTTTGTTTCTTTTTGATGTTTATCTGGTATATACTTTTTTAATATAGAATTTCACTTAAGGGCAATTAGAATTTAATTATCCAAATTCCAAATTAAAACAAGTAAAAAAAAAAAAATAGAAAGATTTTGAAAATTTTCGAAAAATACTGCTTAAGTTTGGTGGCTATACGAAGACGAGGGTCTGCAAACGTATTTTTTTGTTACAGGCTGTATTACTTATTGAGATCCCACATACTTGCATAAAATCGAGGATTGATCGATCTCTTTTTCCTGTCGGCAGCGTTGCAGTGCACACCAAATTTATTATATACGAATTTCTAAATTAAGTTTGTTAATTTAAGTTTAAGATTAATTTTATGAAAAGGTTTTTATTCGATGTTAATTAAAATCTGCGTTAGCCTCATTTTATTGGGTAATAAAGTAAGGAAAGAAATACCCAAATTGGTGACCCCGAGAAAAAAATGCAATCAAAAGATGGAAAACAATGATTTATCAACACTGTCGTCATCCAAAATGAAGAGGATCCACAATCCTTGCATAACAGCATAGGTGGTGTATCAGCCATTTATGCACGTTTGCCATTTCCAGAAATGTGTTATATAAATGAGGAAGCTTGGTTTATTTCAATGGAATTTTGGTTTAGTGCGTCGGGCATAACCTCTGACAAAGGCCGCTACAGTACTTGCTGCTTTAAAGCCAGAAACCATTGCACAATTGTCAGACGTCATCGCAAATATGCCAGCATCCGACCGATTCGAATACGTCGAACGAAAAATTACCGACCATTCTGCCGACAGCGAACAGAGACGTCTCCACTGGTTTTTGCCCAAAATGCCTTTGGGCGACAAAAAATCTTTCGAGCTTTTCTTTGAGATGAAACGGGTAGCAGGTAACTTAATTGGAGAAGCTGCACTTAAAGGTTCGTAAACGAAATGATTGACAACATTTACACAACCTGTTGTAGCAGCGTCAACCGGCACAATAAAGGAGTTCACCAAAATAGCAGACTCAATTGTAGACGCTGTCTCTCCAACGCAGGTATGTAAGGTCACAAAAGACGAGGACAGCCGCATAAACAAACTTCGTACTGCTATTGAGTAGTTAACCAAAAAAAAATCGAGCAATTTACCACGAGGTCCCGTTCTCGATCTCGCATCATCGTTTCCAGTCCCGGTGAAAGCCATCCGATGGAAGTAACAATTCCAATATTGATGACTGTTGGTACCACAAGAAGTACGGACGTAATACCAGAAAGTGTCGCAGCCCATGCAAACAGAAGCAGCGTCAGGTGTACGCTGTTTGCGTCGCACCCATCATTCCTCTTTCTTTGAAAGCTTCAATAATTCGACCGACAACAGCAATATTGTATGCCGCAAGCAGATTACCAATGGATTACTACCAATAAAGTGGTAGGTGAAACGCGCTTAAAGCTGAACCTTGGTTTAAAACGGAATTTTTATTGCTCATTTATAATTGCTGATGTAACCCGCCGATAATTGGTTCGTATTTCATTAAGCTCATGATCTGCTGATTGATTTACGGCGTAACCTATTAATAGGCAACATCACTGGTAACGATTCTCAGCTACAACTACCGTTGACTTCAACGATTGCCTGCCTTAAAACGTTTTGCACGAATAACCCGTTCTTTTAGAGGAATTTCACGGCATAACAGTGCTATCGCCTTATGGTTCCAAACATTTTGTCGTCCTCGCTGATTGCCTGTTGAAAAACTTGAAGCTGGAAGAAAATAAATCAATTTCCTTGCCGAAGTGATGGAACATGGAGACCATGTGGTGACTACCGTGCCCTCAATGCTCAAACTTTACCAGACCGGTACCCCCTCCGTATTTGACCGATTTCACCAACAATTTAAGTGGTCAGAAAATATTTTTGAAAATCGACCTGCAAAAAGCATTTCGTTAATTTCCAATCCAATCCGAAAACGGCGATTTTTACTTCTTTTGGTTTGTATGAATTCAAATGTATGACATTCGGTCTGCGAAACGCAGCACAAACCTTCCAACGACTAATCAACGACGTTTTCAGAGGTGTTGATTGTGTTTTTTTCCGTACATTGATGATATTTTCATTTCTTCTGCCTCCTTGGAGCAACAGTGTCGTGATCTTCGATTAGTATTATAGCGCCTTCGAGACAATCGGCTTGCTATTAACGTCAAAAAATGTAAGTTTGGCAAGCCTGAAATTACATTTCTTGGTCACAACAGACGAAATTCGCGGCAGAAGTATTCGACGTACGACAGAGAGTTAACCGTCATCTACCATGCCGTCTGCCATTTTCGTTGTCAAATTGTAGGACGCCCTTGCTACTTTGTAACAGATCATCGCCCATTGATAGTCGGCTATCAACAAAAAATGGAAAAGGTATCACCACACAGTTTACCACTGACATAAGTCACACACCTGGCAATGAAAACTCAACAACTGATGCCCTGCTTTTTTTCAAGTTGTGCATACCGATTCCGTGCAAGCGATCGCAAATTTTAAGGATCTCGCAGAAGAACAAAAACATCACAGCGAACTGCAGAATATTTTAAAATCACAAGGTACGTCTAATAATTCACTAGTACTAAAGTACTTGGATACATTAGGCTGTGATGAACAAATTGTTTGTGATACGTTCACGTTACTAATACACAAAAGGTTTTCGAAAGCAAATATTAAACTCGTTACACAACCTAGCTCATCCTGGAATACGTGCTACGATACTATTACACACACATCAACATCGATATCGTTGGGACTTTTCCATTATGTGAGGGGCAGCGGTCTTGTTTGACAATAATCGACAGGTTTATTCGATGGTCCGAAGCCGTGCCATTGCCGCTGGTAGCCAGAGGACTGGTTACTCACTGGATTTCCAGATTTGGAGTGCCACAGCGAATCACATCCGACGAGTCAACAACAAACGTTTTTGTTCAAAACGACTCAATCCGCCCTACTCTGACTCATACCTACGATGGCCTGTAGGTCGTTTTAAAACTTTTTCCGAAGTTCTTCACAATGTAATGCGGGGTCGAAATATATATATATATATATATATATATATATATATATATATATATATATATATATATATATATATATATATATATATAAATCTGCGTTAGCGAATAGAAATACCAATAGAAATACCAATATATATATATACTTTTTATACTTTTTAAAAATTATTTTTTTAGACTTTTCCAGTTTCGAAAAATTATATCACAAAGAAGTACGTGCTTCCCCCTGGTCCCAAAAGATTATCCAGTAGAGATAGTAAAAGAAGAAAAAAGTCCTGATTGCATTATTTTGGAAGGAAAATTTTTGACACCACTCGAATTACACTTGCCTGGAATAGTTCCTAAAGCGGCTCAAGACGCTCATTTTCAAGTAGTATTGCCCAACAAATGGAATGGGAAGACAAAGCCAATGTGCATTCATTTGGCTGGAACCGGAGATCATGTAAGTAAGGATCATATTTCATGTCTATGTAATACTAGCTTATCCAGCAAACATTGTCTTGTCCTATAATTTTTTCAAAGAGTTCCTTTGGTGCATTGAAGTTATATATATTTTAAAGTAAAATATTTATGGTCGATTTTAGAGCGTACCATGGTAGAATTAGGAAGGTAAAGTCAAAGTTATTCATTTATAAATTCCTTGTACATACGCAAATCATAGGTGGGAACCTATATTCAATGCAGTGAAATTTGATAAGGAGAATTACAGAAAATGCAAAGATTGGAATGCTTATTTGAAAATGCCTTAAAGACTAAAACTACAGACCGGCAACGCGGTCTGGGCCAGCTAGTAGTGTATAAAATTGTGTCCATGTCCATATAAGAGAGTGTCCACAAATGGGAGGTAAATGTACATGAACATTTGTATTTGAAGCTACGTTTATTATAATTGACAAAGATTGGAAAGTTAGTTAAATATATGAAGTTGGTTATGGAAATGTTAAGGTGTGGGTACATAAGCATCATGCCTAGGCATATTAAATTCTAACTGTAAGGAAAAGCAACGGCAGGAAAAGAGTGCGGCTCTGGTATACCTTTATGATATGTGATAAGTATGCCATGCAAAGACTTCAAGCTGCTTATCCACCGAAACCGTTAGTACTAACAATGTCAAACTAACGAATTTGAAAAGGCCTAACACTAACACTGCCTTTACACGGTGGCATTTTTTAACCATGCCATTTTTTTTGTTGGTAAAAGGTGTGGAGAAACAAGGATAGATGAAAAAATGGCACGTCAAGCCACCACAAAGGTTTACATGCCATTTTCTTTGCATTTCTCTTTTTGCTTCTTCCGAATTTTTTTATGATTTTGACATTTCATATCGTTTCTTTATTGTAACTTTTGATGCGTTTCTTTTATTGTGATAGTGAATTATATGAAAATTAATTGGAAGTTTTAAAAAGTAAAAAAAAGAAAGTTAAAATAAAAGTTAATAATTTTAATAAATATGTGGACCAGATCGACAATAGAGCTCATGTTGGAGCTGTAAGGGCAGCATGAAAATCTATACAATGTTCGGCACCCACATTATAAAGACCGCGTAAAGCGATGTAGATCGCTGTCTGCCATACACAACCGGCTAAAGGAAGTGGACGCAAGTGTGACCATTGAAGCCATAGAAACTAAAATACATGGATTGCGTTCTCAATTTCTAAAAGAAATGGCCTTGGTGAAGGCAAGTAAAAGAAGTGGAGTTGGCAGGGATGACGTGTATGTTCCAAAGCTGTGGTGCTATTCCCTATTGGAGTTTTTCGGTCCTTATGTTAGTTTACGGGCATCATCTTCAAGCCTTTCTGAAGTAAGTCCATAACTGTTACTTAAAAAATCTTTATGCATATCGGAAAAAAATTATTTACCAACGAGGAAGTTAAAAGCGAAATGACCTACAAAATTCAGACAATTCTAAGAGAAGGGCGGATGAAGGCTGCTGAATTGGAAGACGAGAGCTGTCGCCGGAAGGGATACGCAACAGAACAGCAACAATCCCATGTGTTGCGATCCCCCAACAATAATCTCAACGCCGGCAACGACAGCGCCGATTATTGCCCCAATACGCATTATTCGAACTTCTCAGCCACTATCGAATATTTTAGAACAATCGCTTATAGGAATCGCTTTCGACGACGACGATTTCTAATTTGGAGCAAGTTTGAAATTTAAAAAACAAACTAAGATCTCAATAGAAGGCTTTTATTAAAAAATATGAATTAAACTTGCATATATGAAATAAAAGATTACATTAAAAAAACTGCGAAATTGAAATAATCTTCAAATCCTTGCCGAACTTCTTCTGCAGCACTTTCTCTACTGCGGTCAATTGTATTGTGGACAGGATTTTTTTTTTGCATTTTCTAATGTACTTTCCGCAGTTAAATACTATGCGCTTTTTGGACAGTAAATTATGCAGAACACAACACGTTTTAGTAAGCAACTCCACAGTTTCAACCTTCAAATTTATTCGATGTTGAAATATTCGGAACCAGTGAGAAAGGATGCCGAAAGCATGTTCAACAACATGTCTTGCCCGTGATAGTCGAAGGTTGAAAATTTGCCTTTCTTTGCCATATTTCTGAAGGAGTACGGTTTCATTATGTGCTTGCTTAGTGGGAAAGTATCGTCCCCGACCAAGACGTATGGTAGTTTTCATCCATTACCAATGATTTTGTCTCCCGGAAAGTGGTTTTCTGCATCGTCCAACACTCGTTTCAAACTTTGAAGCAACACCCCAGCATCGTGACAACGTCCATTGCATCCAACATAAATGTAAATGAAGCGACACTCTGCGTCTACTAGAGCCAACAATACAATACTCTTTGTCCCTTTATAGTTAAAGTAGAAGGAACCGTCTTTACGTTTTGGCTGGAACTCTATATGTTTTCCATCCAGTGCCCCTAAGCAAAGTGGAAACTGCCACTTTACTGCAAATTGCTCAGCAATCAACTCCCAATCAGATTTTGTTGTTGGAAACTAAAAGAAACATATACATACATTTAATGCGTTCCGAATAATTAAAATAAATACAATTTATTATAATATTACCTTCAAATATTCGCCTTTAAATTTGTTCCAAATTGCGGTACAGACCTCTGGTACTGCCTTCGATAAAAATGAATCTGACAACCTGGTTTGATAGTTCGTACTGGCATAAGTTTCACCAGTAGCAAGGTTACGCAACGTAGCTGCTAATTTCTCGTCGGCTGGAATAGGTTCCCTCATAAATGTGTTTTGTTATACCGCTTGCAATTTCATTTATAATGTATGTGAATGTATTTTGATCCATACGAATGTATGCAAAAAATGAAGACACGTCGGACGACAGCTCTCTCATTAGAATGGAAAATGATCCTCTGTTCTGTCGCTCCTGCCTCCATGGTTTTATCCACTGCTTCCTTTGGTTTTTATTAGGCATATTGACCACTGTTTCACAACACTCTAATAGCCCCAAAACAATGCCGACATCAAGCTCATTTCTGAAATCTGAGTTTTCCACTGCAATATTTAAAACCTCAATAACTTTTTCCATCATTTCTTCTTTAGATTCACACATCTAATTTCACTTCTTTATAAATATCTGTTACAAATAATTGGCACAACAATACAGCTCTATACGAAATACTGAATAAAATAAAATGTCAGAAAAAATGCCAAGCACTAATATCGTAAAATGCCACCGTGTAAAGGCGCGAAGATTTACGCAGAAATTTTAAAAGAAAATGAATAAAAAAATGGTGCGGCGCTCTGCGTCTACTAGAGCCAACAATACAATACTATTTGTCCCTTTATAGTTATAGTAGAAGGAACCATCTTTACGTTTTGGCTGGAACTCTATATGTTTTCCATCCAGTGCCCCTAAGCAAAGTGGAAACTGCCACTTTACTGCAAATTGCTGAGCAATCAACTCCCAATCAGATTTTGTTGTTGGAAACTAAAAGAAACATATACATGCATTTAATGCGTTTCGAGTAATTAAAATAAATACAATTTATTATAATAGAAAAAATAATAAAAATGCCACCGTGTTAAGGCAGTGTAACTGTTCGAAATCGGTCATAATCCCCATAATTGTAATAAGGATTATGAGTATTACGACACGGTACCTTTAAAACCTCTATTATATGGACAAAATGTTACGATATTGAAACAAGAAAAATGTTTCTGATTATTTGCCTTTTTTGTAATCTATATTTGTTGTATACAATTGGCGGATTGCCGAAAATGGCTTATAACCATCGCGGCTTATACTATCAAAAGTTGTTGGCGTTAACGGCCCCGATTTTCAATATCGTATTTGAAGGATTAGCCCTATTTGTACAAAATTTACATTTATAGCTTGTTCACAAAACTTTTGTTTAAGGCAGACAAGCAATTTCTACCCAGACAATCAAGTTTTAATTTCAGTTCATTTACTTTTTCAAAAATTTGTTTATGTTTCCAAAAAAATAATTTTTTTTTTATAAAAATGAATGCGTCAGTTGGTTTTGGACGTGCCATGTCCGTGTCCGGACATAATCCCCATTTCAATTATGGGGACAATTCTCTTTCAAGGAACAAAGTACTCACATGGAACTCCTTGTGTGGATTTTCAGACAATTCCGTTGAAAATGTGGGGTACCGTTATAGGGGGTACCGTTATATGGGGGCTATACGATATCGTGGACCATCTTCGAACTTGACCTGCCTGCAGACAAAAGAGAGATCTATGCAATCTGTTAGCTTCCTATCTTAATTCATTTAGACTGTAGCGTGATTACAACAGATGGACGGACACGGAAATAGTCTTAGAATTTTACGTTGATCATATATATATATATATATATATATATATATATATATATATATATATATATATATATATATATATATATATATATATACATATATATATATATATATATATATATGTATATATATATATATATATATATATATATATATATATATATAACGGAATCAGTTTAAAAAGGCTTGGACCGATTTTTTGTACAAACGTTCGTCATACCCCAAATATTGACCACGCCTCCTTTTACGCCCACTATTACGATTTATCTAAAATCTTTATATAAGTCAAAATAGTGAAGATCCAACCCTAAGTATTTATTTAAGGGCTAAGGAACGCGCCTACTTTTAAGTCTATTTTTCTATATGTAAAAGAAAGTTGTGTTAATTACTACGCTTATAACATAAAGACCGCCGGTCTGATTTTAACGATTCAGACAAATTCGGAATTGCCTCTTGGCAGAAAAGAATAAAATCTAAAAAAATCGCTTAAAATGTGAAATTTGAACATTTTCATTTTGACTTTTAAAATGTACAATAGTTATGTTTTATATTGCATATTTTTTTCCATTTTGACTTACTATTTTCGAATGTACATTTGTAGTGTTTTTTTTTTTTTTTTTTTTGGAATTCTAATATGATATGTAGTTGTTTTTTTGGTAG